TCCTCATTCTCTGACAGCAGGTATTTTTCCCTCAGAGCCATCTTCCCAGACCTCTGTGTTGTACCTCTTCATGGATAAGCAAACAACCCCATTTTCTCTCTGTTTGGGAGAGAGCGTGCCACTATCTCTCAGGATTGTCATAAGGGCTCTATCCAGAGTTTGGCTGCTGTACCAGGCACAGTGAAAAGCTCAAACATCACAGGCCACAGTGCACAGCTATGCAACTCCCATTCCAGTATACAGTATACATTCCAGTGTGTGTTGGGAGGACATTGGCTATCCTCAGCACTTCTAAAGCCCTATTTAACAAGGCCGTGTGCGGATGCATTCAGGCACTAAGTAGCTACAGATACCTGTAGCTCTCTGGTCCTTATGTCAGTCTGTGGGTTTCATTTTTCCTTGTGTGAGCGTATCAATGTCTTCCCTATCTGTTCCTAGCAGCCTTCTTAGCACCTCTTAAATGTGGCTGCTCTTATCTGTCATAGACAAGAAACCCCAAAAGCCCACTGCACATGCATTCACTTGAAAAGCAGCTATACATTGAGTGAAAACCTGTGTGTAAATGAAGAAGGTTTGCTTTGCTCATGGAATGTTTTGCTATCACGGGTCCTTCTTTCAACTTTCTATACTCAGGGTGGTGTTCCAAAGGACTAGCTTTCCACCATAGATGTTTTCCTGCTCAGGAAGGCACCATTACAGGGCATTTTTGCTGGGTTTGACAGTGGTACAGGTCACAAGTTAATGCGCACACTTGGCTAAAACTTTCCCCCTGAAGCCCTCTGCAATAGTTTCACCTGTCTCCAGAGCTTGATTTTTTCAGAAATCTAGGCCTGTTCCCCACCTGTTGTGTACCTCTAAAATATCCCTGGTCTACCTTCACCTGAGTTGGCTTAGTGTTCATCTGGTCCCAAACTGTTCTCCACATTAGATAATGTTTATGTTGGCTAAATATTAGCACAAGCAAGTCATTCGCTTGGCACGTTCACAGACAGCGAAGCAGACGCTGAATGGATGTAACATTTACAAGTTGATTTTCTTTGGTAGACACTCCCTGTGACGTCCGCATTCATCAGAGGTGTGCCACGCACTCCCCACGGTTGGCTGTATGCTAGGGAATTGAGAGTCACTGGAGGAAACACGTACAAATCTAGGACAACAGCCTACAGCAATTGATTGCAGGGTGGAACCTGGGCACCAGTGGATGTTAGAACTCTCCGGGTGAACCCAGTGTTCATCCAGTCTTGGGAACTTGTACCCAAGACAAGCACCCATACGATGTTCAGGTGTATGGGACTCACTGAGGAGCATAAAATACAGGTTGAAGTTCAGTGTAGCTCTGGGTGCTGCTAAGATTGTGTGTTTCTCTCTGTGTGTATCTCTGTTTTTCTCTTTCTCCCTGTGTACAAATTCACATGTGTGTGCACCTGTGGAGATCAGAGGCTAATAGTGAATGCCCTCCTTAATTACTTCTCTACTTTATTTTCTTTTATTGAGACAGGGTCTCACGAGGTAGCCTTGGCCAGCCTGGAATTTGATAAGTATGTAAGGCTGGCCTTGAACTCACAGAGATCCACCTGCGTCTGTCTGCTGAGTGTTGGTCTGAAAGGGGTGTGCTATCACACCCAGCCTGGCACCTTATTTTTGAGGCAGCATCTTTCAAGGAACCTGGAACTCACAGATTCCTCTAAACTAGCCGGCCAGAAATCTCCAGGGAGCCTGCCTCTGCCTCTGTAGCACTGGGTTAGAGGCGTGTGCCGCCATGCCGTGCTGGACTTTTTACTTGGGTGCTAGGGCTCTGAACTCATACTCTCATGCGTGGGCAGCAGGTGCTTTAAAGGGCCATCTTCCAAGCTCAGGCTCTGACTTTCTGCTAAGTGTCCCCGCAATGTTGATGTTTCTGCTAGGTCAAGAGCCCCATCAACAGCAACGCTTCTGTCTTTCTAGATTCTCCTTTCAACATTGCAGATCATTTCCCAGAAACCACTCATCCATTTGGGTTTGTGACATCTCCACATCTTCAGTGACCCTCCCAAGTCTTGCTTTTTCTTTATTGGTCTGTCACTGTTCGATGGTCAGCTCAATTTTTTTATTTTCCTCTATATACCAATTCTCTTGAAAACAACACACACAACAGAGCAGAACTGATAAAGTACCTAGCTAAACCTAAGCATAGTTTTATATGTATCTTACTTTTCAATGTGAGATGTTCTACAGCATAGGAGCCAGCTAAGGGTGTGCAAACTCTTTGACTATGGCATGATCATACTAACACAGTATCTTTGTTACTGTTTTTCGAACAGGGTTAGTCACAAATAATTATGTCTTTAGTACAAAAATAAAAAATAAAGAATAAAGAATAAACATCAGGACTGGTGAGATGGGTAGAGGTACTTGCAATGAAAGCCTGGAGATGTGAGTGTGATCCTTGGAAGGAATGTAAAGGAGGAAGGAGAGAATTGATTACACAAAGTTATCCTCAGACCTCTATACATGCATCACTGCAAGCATGCTCACACATGCACATATACAAAGTAAAAACTAAAAATAATAAAATTGCTAATGGGAAGGAAACAGAAAGGCACAAAGCAACAGTATTTTTCAGTTTCTGGATTGGCTAGGCTTCCAGATGTCAGTATTTAGAAAATGCATTTTTCTCGCTATAATTCTCATGATTTTGCAATAATAGTTCAATGGTTATATGGATATTTGTTGGTGGATGTGTTCTGAGAAATTTATGATTTTCCCAGGTATTAAATGATGATGATAACCTAAAACTAATCATATAGCACCCTGGATCACAAGGATGAGCAAGTGCTAGCACGTTAGTTCAGTGCCTGCCTTTCTGTGTATGTGTGTGTGTATTTACTTTTTTATTTAGTTATCCACTTTACATCTCAGTCGTAGCCCCCTTTTCCTCTTCCCACAGTTCCTCTCCTCTGCTCCTCCCTCATCACCCTATCCCCCCTCCCCTGC